TACGTAGGCTACGCCGCATCAAGATAACGTCTAAAACATTAGCCAATGATTAGACATCGGGTTACAAAAGGAAGATGGAACTCCCGCAGTGTATTCCAGTTTTTGAAAAGCAGAGTTCAAATAAATTATTCCCCTTTTTGTCCCAACACTGATTGTGATCGTAGCTTAGTTACGAGTGTGTTCCGTTGTATTTCGTGATCACTGCTACAGTTGACACGTTCACAGTGTGTTACAGAGCCATTGAGCCAATTCCAGTTCTTAAGTGGTAATGCACAATCAGGCAATTGACACCATGCACTCCTCAAACCTACCCAACAAGTGAGGAAATTTGCCGCATGGAGTGATGGAATATATTTTATTTTTATTATTTTATTACTTCCCTTCTACGTGACTTTACCGAAAGAACCAAGAAGATGCTGCGCTGGTGGGTTTATAAGTAAAGTTGCGAGCAAACATCGACGCATTTTCTTTTTACGTTTCACGCTCTCTGTCCCGTTAACTTGCAGCCTGATGGGAGCTATTTACTCAGCTGCCCGGAGAGAGAGAGAGAGAGAGAATGAGAACTTTAAGAGTTGAGTGAGCACACCCTTCTCATCTCCAGCCTTGCTTTTTAAAGACTGACTTGCAGCTGTTTGTATGGATAACAGCTTTTGTCTGCCCGGATATCGCACCCAACTGTGTGTTGTGTTAATAGGTGGGAGCATTCACTGCTCCCAAAACGTCACTTATTTGTCTCCTTTGAAAGTGGCCAGTAAACACTTAAGGCCCCGTCCAAAAGAAAACACGTGACACAATATCCATCTAAGATGTTACTTTCTGATTTTTGTAGTGGAATTGTTAATGTACTGCTTCGTGTTGGTGTTCCCAGTTGTGCTGTGTGGCTTTCTGGTGTGTCGTTACGCACAGTGGTTTTCGGCACGTGGAGCGAAACGTCAGACTTCGCTTTAGCTGAACTGCACGTGGTTGTAAAGCTATTCACTGATTCACTTGCAGTTATGGCTTTCATATCCTGCGCACAACATACCCGCAGTGTGTGTTGCTGCTGCATTTGCTGCCGCTGTGATGCGTCATCGCGGGGAAAGTTTTGCGGTTGAGCAGAGTCAAGGGCTCGGATTTTTCCATTGTAGTCATGAAAATGATTCCATTCTTTGTTTTCCCAACACGCCGGACCCTTATCTTTAGGAATACAATTAGAGTGTGATTTGTGCATCAAATGTTAAAACAGTAGAATCACCAGTAGACATTGTAAGATAGACAGCGCTTGGATGGGTGACAAACATGCATCAAACGGGTGTAGTAGGCATTGCGCATTCGTCAACCTGCACTCAATCATCATTTTCGAGGTATGGCCAGTGAATGACCGACTCTCTCTGCCGACAGTGCGTGGAGAGGCCCTCATCCAGCGGCGAATTTACAACCTTGTTCTATACGCGCGTGTCGTGCATGACCGCACGTTTTCAAGGACAACATCCGGATGGCCGTCGTAGCAGTGATGCTGGTACGTCGGCAGGTTGTGCAATGTGAACGGGGCATTTCAGCACAACTTTGCTCGTAACGGTAGAGAGTTGATGAATTCGTAATGGGCACGCATATCAGTTGGTGGTGGACTGTGCTACTGCAATGCAGTGATGTGTACGGTGTATGGTAGGTAAGTCTTACATAAAGAACCGGAAGCTTTCGTGACCAACAGTGTCTCTCATTGGTTTTCATTATATTATGTTTTATTTTTATTATTTTATTACTTCCCTTCTACGTGACTTTACCGAAAGAACCAAGAAGAAGATATATTGGAGCCATTGATTGTTTTTAGTTGTTAAATATGGCAACTGTGATCAATTAAATGTGCATTGAATTCTGGTTATGCCACGTTTGAGTTCCAAACAAATGCCGTAGATTTGAAAAGTTTAGCTTTTTCTGGTAAAAATGTTTGGAAAATCTTATTTTATTTTTGTGTATTTATGTCGTCCGGTGCTAAAGACCAGAGTTAACTGTATTATTAACGCATTCAATCTCCTTTATAAATTAAAACAATGAAGGTCTTATCACACCACACGATTTTGTAGTTGTGGCACTCTACATAATGTTTATCATTAAAATAATCATCAGCATGGATTTCAGAAAATGTTGGAATACTCAACAAATAAACATTACATTTCAATGCCATTCCTTTTTATGAAGGTCACCTTCTGCACAGGTCTACATTTGACTGAAGAAGTGTAGTTTTCCACAGACACAAAAAACACATGAACATGTTTAAATCTTGACTTAAAGCTTTCGTGACTGCAGGAATTCATATTCTTGGGCCTTTCGGTAAAGTCACATAGATAGGTTCAAAGAAAATAACAGCTTTTCTTAGAGCCTAGTCTCACCTGGTGTTGGTCTCGGCTCTAAGAAAAGCTCTCGGGTGTAGACCAATCAACTTCAAGGACAGTGCATATCATTATTAGAGTTGTTTCTTTTTGTTTGCATTTTGACTGCTTGTGTTGTGGTTATAGCAAACATGATCCCTTGTATAAAGGTGGCAGTTGTTGTACCAGTTGAAAGGGTAAAACCCTATTACAATAAAAATACGATGTTTCGATCGCAACACAATCAATCGTCATCAGGAGAAAAAAGAGTAGGAAAGCTGCTGAGGCAGGCTGTTTTAAAGGCTTGCCTGCCTCAGCAGCTTTCCCCCTCTACTTGATGACGATTGCTTGTGTTGCGATCGAAACGTCGTAGTTTTTTGTTTGTTATTTTTGTTATTTTCTTTGAACCTATCTGCGTGACTTTACCGAAAGACCCAAGAATATTAACGTGCTCTTTGGTTATTTCGGTAAAGTCACGTAGGTAGAAAAACTAAATAAAAAAAATGTATATCACGACGTTTCGATCGCAACACAAGTGGTCGTCCTCAGGTGGAAAATAAACCAGCAGTGGAACTACTGAACCGTCGTGATATTTTTTTTTTCTACCTACGTGACTTTACCGAAAGAACCAAAGAGTATGGATTCCGGCAGTCACGAAAGCTTCAAATAAAAATATGAACGTGTTTGTTCGAGCTGATTTCAATGTTGGCACTGCACGGCTGAACATCAATACAATAGTAACAGGCTGTGTTCATGAAGTTATTCTGATAATTGTTTTTTTACCCTTTTATCTGGCAACAAAACTGACACCTTTTTTACAAGGAGTCATGTTTGCATTGACCACAATACCTGCAGCCGGAATGCAAACAAAAAACCAAAAGTGCGCCTTTTGGCGTCATCTGGTCCAACACCATGTGAGACTAGGCTCTAAAGAAAGCTGTCTCGGGTGTGGACCAATCAATTTCAAGGACAGTGCATACATTATCAGAGTTATGTTTTTGTTTGCATTCCGACTGCAGGTATTGTGATCAATGCAAACATGACTCCTTGTAAAAAAAGGTGTCAGTTTTGTTGCCAGATAAAAGGGTATAAAAACAAGTATCATCATTTGTTACTGGCAAATGAGGTTCCAATGGTGTAAGTTATTCTGATTTACAATCTGTTGGACCGTGCAGTTTACGCAACGACTGTTTCAACATCGTGGCCATTTGTTTAACTTCATGTGCGCAAGCTGTGGTTGTAATATTACGCGTCCTACTGGTGTAAAGTAAGCAGAACGCACCCACAAAGCCATAGCTAATGCGAACGGAGTGAAGTGGTCAAGGCCCATTTACCGCACGCTTTAAGGCACCACTAGTAATTGAAGTTGCATTCCGTCTTGTGGCGTTGTGCGCGTGGTGCACACGGGCTAACCGTCATGGTGAGTCACAGTGGGAATGTTCAGCTTGGCCTTGTACCCTTCCTGACACAACACCCCTTGCTGCCAAGCCACCACTGGGAAACGAGACTGGGAGTGGCAGAGGACTCGGCCCTGTGGCCCGATATGTAACGCAGGTTGCACGTTGCGTAAGTACGTACATCCTTCCCCTGGTCCTGGAAGCATTATTAAACTTCGCGGTGCGTTTCTTCTTTGATTTTGTTTTGTTTCAAGTCAGGGAGTAATCATTTATATTTAATCGTAAGTATTGAACGAGGTATACCTAGGTCAGCTATTTAAGGCAAAACCGAGGTGAAACTTTGAACACAGAGGCAAACGAAAGCGGGTTGGGGTGTTTTTGATAAAAATGAAGTTAATAATGATAAGCAACATACCAATATTCCTAATGTTGGATATGTTTTATTTTATCGGTGCATATTACCTGTTACAAAGGACATTGATGAAGAAGATTAAACAACTGCAAGAGGATAGAATAGATCACATGTAGAGCTTATAACGTATTCACTGCATCCCAAATGGTTATTTGGCAAAAAATAAAGACCTCGACATGTGTATCCAATTTTAAATTATGTTGAACTTCTTTCACACCATACGTAGCAAACCCTGCTAATCTTTGGTGCGGGGGAAGGACAACAAACTAAACACACGCGCAAAAAAAATCCGTTTTAAAGAAATGAATAGACGCTTCTGGGAAGTACAAATACATGTTTGATGTTACGTGTCATACTGGTGGCATTTCATTGAATCACACTGATTCAATGAAATGGCACTGTCTGTTTGGGGTTGGATATAGAAGGGAGCAACTCCATTCCCAAAGTAACGTTAAGTAAGATACAAATAATTTTGTTGTTTTACACAACACCAAGGCACTACATATGTTGGTGTCGAATGAATAACTCAACAGTATACTGTATATCTAAATATGGATACTTTATATATGTACCGTATTTATATTATCATAAGTATATATGGGTACATCAGAGTCGATTGGCAGCTCATGTGTTGGTGGAGTAAAGTGTGTGTACTCCCAACTCTTCGAAGACAGATGGCCAGCATGAAAGAGTAGGCCAAATACCCTTGAGAGAGCCACTCTAGGTCACGATGTAGCGAAGCAAGCTAGATATGTCTCTATCTCGTGGAGGCCTCTCTTCCAGCGATGGAGTGAGCCAGTTAACGCGGGGCTGGCACCTTTAAAAATAAAACGTACAACTTAACATTTTAAGCGGTGTTTATTCACATGGACATGCTTATTGGAACACAACTTGTAAAAAAAAAAACTTTCGTACAAAAACTGCAGGAGCGCAATAAAAATGTGTACATATTCATGTGGCGATAATATGCAAGTATGCTTCACCCTAGACACGCTATGCAACTATGCCGATGAAACCGTTCACTTTTACAAAACTAAAAACTTTGTAAAATATATGCATTTCATACCACTTGCAAAGTAGAGATAAAGCGTATGGATACATATTACGGTGTTGTGCTGGCATTAGAAGACATGGTGTCGGTGATGATGGCGATGATGCATTATGTAAATGCCTTAACATATGATGAAATGCACTGCAAAAATGTAATGTATAAAACACTGCTAATGTTTATAGACAGCCATAGCTTAATTTGATTCCAGGATTTGCTTTTGGCTACAGAAGTAAGTAAACATGAAAGGGTAAATATAGGACTTGTAATGGTTTATTGAGCAAATGATCTAAACTTTATGGATGTTTGTTGGAATATAAGCTAAATATTCATAAAGATATCTGATGATGCTGGTTGTGACTATCAGCGAAACGTTGTACCCATTTGTTAAATGCTCTCCAACACACCGGTGTGCTTACGCAGTAATAAACAATGCAATGTTAACGTTTCATTGATATCTTTATTAAATGGCAGTCGGGTGGAGGAGGGTCTACGACATACATTTATTTTTCGATATCGTACTCATAAACCAATTATGAATCAGTATTAGTCGCGAAAGCCTACGTGTTAGATATGAACACAGAATAAGTAAACAAATTCCATGTGTTAAGGGTATTAATAATGAAAATCCACGAAATTACGTGAAATATTTCCCCATGGCTATTTTCCATAGTTTTACACTGTGTTAGTTATCATTTTGTTATAAAAAAACGACGTTATTTGGCCAAATCTGAAGGTATATATTAACTATTATTTCATAATGTTTTTTTTTATTTTTTCCATCATAACGTACATTTGACAAAATCCTGCCCTCAATGTAGCCTCATACGGTGGCTAAACCATACCCACCCAGGCTCTAAACCAGAGGTCGCAACCGGGTACCCGATACCCGTACCCTACCCGATACCCGGCTACCCGTACCCGGCCGGGTACGGGTACCCGTTTGCGACCCTGGTGCGGCCGGGTACGGGTAGGCCGTGAGTCACTGGTGAGTAACCGTTTGTCAATCATTTCCCAACGTCTTGTCTCTTCTCACAATTCAAGTTCCTAGAATCAACCCACCCGCGCCTGCAACATGGCTTCATCCCAGAGGTCGCAATCAGGTACCAGATACCCGTACCCTACCCGTACCCGGCCGGGTACGGGTAGGGTACGGGTACGGCCGGGTACGGGTACCCGTTTGCGACCCTGATGCGGCCGGGTACAGGTACGGGTAAGGAATCAAAACCCGTTTGCGACATCTGCTCTAAACACGGCACAAGAGCTCTCTCTGGTGTCCGCATAACAGCACTGACTTCCTTAATATGTTCGCTTGCCAATTCGATTATGTCCAATACGATATCTCTATTGTACAGAAGTTGCAAGAGGGCATTATGGTAACGTTTATTTAACTAATTTGGAAAGATAAAATGGTCGGTTTAAAGGTGATTTGAAGCCTTACTGAAATGCGTAATGCTTTGTTTTGTCACACTCTTGACAAAATTGACCTTACTCTGTTAAAATCTTCATAAATAAACGATACACGGACTTTTAACTCTAAATATGGTACGTGTTTCCCACAGCAAAAATGTCCCTAAGTTTATTTAAATCTTCATCGTCGATTGTTTCATAATCGTGTATGTCTTCGTCTTCGTCTTCCAAAAGTGTAACTGCAATGACACGTGAACCAATTGTTAGACATGCAACACTCTCATCTGTGGCTTAAGTCGGGTCCACGCATAACCATCAGTTATGCAACCAGATCGCTCTCAAAATGACGCCAATTACTCTGCTGCAACAGCTTTGTCCACATGTCCACATCTGCGCGAAAAGTGTTGAAAAACACTTTTGTTGTGTAGGCTAGGCGTAGTCACAAACCACACCTCTCCATAACAAAGGCTCAGTCTTTTGTTATGCAGTCTATTCTTAGTCTTAAGCCTCACCTTACCATATTAATAAAAAGTGTGCCGTATTTGGCCCTTCCCCTCTTCAACCATTATATATACGGAGTGGTAGCTCTTGTAATCTCTCATTTACTTGATACAGCTGTCGTGGCTGTGACGGTTCCACCTGAAGACGGAAGCTTGTGTTGCCTCCGAAACGTCGTGATTTTTTTATTTATTTTACTTTTATTAATTTTAATTTATTACCTACGTGACTTTACAGAACAAACCTAAGAATATGAATCCTTGCAGTCACGAAAGCTTCAAATCTAGAATTGTTGGAAAACAGGTGGTCTGCGCATAGCTAATGTGTCTGAACATGTCCCTTTAGAGCATCGCCCTGCCCCTTATCTGGTTAGCTCCACCACCCCATCACCCAAGTTAGAATTTTAACAACCAATCATGTTTAACACGTAGGCTTTCTTCACCACTATATTATCCATAAGAGATTTTTTTGGGGGTTGATCGTGTAAATATGTGTCGTTAAAACCGCCAACTACCCGACACAGCCAATTAGTCACTGTTTTTCACGCAAACAAAACAAGCCAATTCATTACTAGTACTGTACACTGGTGTGTTGGAGAGTAAACCCACAATATTTACAATTGGAGTACAACGTTACCCCAGTAATTACAACTAGCATCATCAGGCAACAGCCAATGCTGGCTGATGCTAGTTATAATTATTGGCTATCGCCTGATAATTCTAGTTGTAATTACTGGCGAAACGTGGTATTTAAATTGTAAATCTTGTGGGTTTACTCTCCAACACACCGGTATCCAGTACTAGCAACGAATTGGCACATTTGGTTTAGGTGACAGACCTTACTAATTGGCTGTGTTGGGTGGTGGTGGGTTTAACGACACATTTACATGCACGCGATCTAACCATCCCAACCTACAAACAACTCTTATGAACCAATCATGTTTGTCCAGGTGATGAACTAAGTTACCACATCTTCTTGGTTCTTTCGGTAAAGTCAGGTAGAAGGCAAATAATAAAATAATAAAAATAAAACATAATAAAATAATAAAACTAAAACATAATAAAATAATAAAAATAAAACATAATAAAATAATTTTAACGACGTTTTGGTCACAACGCAAGCAGCCGTCCTCAGGTGAAGACCAGGTCTGTCGGGGAGACATCGTTGTGGCCGAAACGTCGTGAGAATTATTTTATAATGTTTTAGTTTTATTATTTTATTATTTCCATTCTACGTGACTTTACCGAAAGAACCAAGAAGATGAATCCCTGCAGTCACGAAAGCTTTAAATCGAAATTTAAGTTACCACACATTGCTGAGCAGATTGCTTGCGAGTAGAGTTTAGTTTATTAGTCCAGGATGAATCTCATTTGCAAGAGTAACCGGGGGAATGAGTCTGCCAGCAGGGGGGCAATGATTGCTATGTATAGTCCAAACTACGACGTCAGAGACACCAGCCTATGACATTAGAGGACCTTCATGGTCCACTTTGAAGCAGACGGCATGTACAATTATAATGGTTACTACACCCGCTGAATGCGCTGCTGCTAGGCCTCGTCCCTGTTTTCCCCTATTATTATATTTTCGTACTAGTAAAGGAGGTCTACTGATGTAGATGCTCACCACGAGCCCTCATTACTTTGATAGTGCATTGTCTTTGAGCTGTACGCCTTTTGGCGTCATCTGGTCTAGCACCAATTGGGTCGAGGCTCAAAAGAAAGCCGTCCCTTGGTGTGGACCAATCAGTTTCAAGGACAATGCATTATATATTATTAGAGTGTGTTTTTTGCATTTTGACCACTAGTATTGTGGTTAATGCAAACATGATTCCTTGTAAAAAGGTTTCAGTTTTGTTGCCAGAAAAAAGGGGAAAAACCCTATTCTTATAGGGTTCTCAACTGTTCGATAATGGCACCAGCGATGTCCACATTAAACTGATTCCATTGCATGCAACCAAGGTGTGTAATGGGTCATTCAGGGGTGGATGCGCCCTTAGAAAGAAACCATTTTAGATTGAGAATTGTCTGTGTGGTTTTGTGTAATAAAGTAGCAGGATATTATTATTATCATTGCACATTGGAATGAGAACGTGTAACCAACGTTGAAAAGTGTTTTGGGCAAACCAAGGGGAGCCTGTAAGATATTACCTGCCAATGTTCTGTGGGTGGACTCTTGAAAATCTGTTTTCTGGTCGGTTGGTATTCCTGCTCCCACTTTCTTGGGAGTACTCTGCACGTGCAATGAAGTTATGCAGCGAGATAAAATGATTTCAACACTGTACATACATACACGGATGATATAAAATATTTGCTCAGACACTTGCACGCGAACATGCCGTGGTGTGGACGAGGGGATTTCTAACCTGGCATTTCTGTTTTGGTGGCTTCACGGACGGTTTCCTGCAGGGGATGGGCGGAGGCCGATCGATCATCCTGGTGCCTTCGTATGTCAGGAGGCTATTGTAGCTCTGGGAGGACAGCCTCTCCACGTTGACCACATCCTCAACGAGCACAGTTGCTGCGGTATCGGGCCCCCTGTACGAATGCATGCGGACCGCCATGGACACGCGATCGATTGGGATTTCGAAAGGACTGTGCATGGCATGATCTGGCCCGTTGGTTATACTTGCAACCAGGCAGCGGTCCATCACTTCATTCTCAAGCACCAGGGATCCCTGTATGGACACCAAGGGGTCACCAGGCATCCCATCTCCAGTGACAAGCTGCAAGGCATAAAGATAAAATGTTAGGTGGGCATTTAATACTTGTAATATTTTTAACACCAGTTTCAGTCTTACATTTTCTTAGTAATACAGTATATAAAACATCTGGAAATATGCAGGATGTCTATAAAGGTATAATCCATTTATGCAGAATTTGAAATAACAGAAAAGTTTGATAAAACTTAAAATATACACACTCGGTAGCGTGTGTTTCCTGTGGCGTTGGTAACATTGCACTGATATTTGAGAGTACCAGGTGTTGACTAACATTTCAGGTATCGTTGTTTACAATGTTTATGTTACGTGCCGTTGAAAATCGCTCAGGCCCTTTGGTTTACGATGTAAATATATGAGCACCATGTTTACATGTTCAAACTGCCGTGTTATTTAAATGATTTAATAATGGATGACACCTGTTTCGTGTTTCTGTATATAATGTACATAGCACATTTTGTACAATAAAAAAGGTTTGCAAAATCAGTAGAATATGCAATCAGTACTTAGCCCGGACCTGTGAACTTCACAGCAGCCAATAAACAAAAAGTGCCATTTTGTTACTCAACAAATATAATAACCTTAATATTGACACATGTAACACAAATGACACCTGTGCACCACATTGCATTGGTTCTTTTTTACATTGTGGGTTTTTGCAGATTCGGAGAACAATGATTATTTTTATGCAATTATTGTTCTTAACACAAAGGATCCCTTCTAGATTTGAAGCTTTCGTGACTGCAATGATTCATATTCTTAGGTTTTTCGGTAAAGTCACGTAGGTAAAAACATTAAAAAGTAAAATAAAATAAAAATCACGACGTTTCGGAGGCAACGAAAGCTTGTGTTGCCTCCGAAACGTCGTGATTTTTATTTTATTTTACTTTTTAATGTTTTACCTACGTGACTTTACCGAAAAAACCTAAGAATACAAAGGATCCCCCCCCCCCCCCCCCACATACTGTAGGTCCTTAACACTTTGTTAGGGAAAGCGCTGTAAGCGAGCACCAAATAAGGGGCCGTCCATAAATGACGTCACACGATTTTGGACGATTTTGACCCCCCCCCCCCCGTCGTCACACGGCGGCACAAAAAATCAGACCCCCCCTCAACTATGACGTCACAAAGCTCTGCCCCCCCCCCCCAAAATAAAACATGGTTCAAATCGCTTTAAACTATTGTCATTGTAGTGCGTATTTAATGTGGCGCTGCACTCTGTTGTAGGATAAAACATTTATAAAAAAAAGTCTATTTAATTAAGTAGAACGTGTTGTCTCTGTTTATTTAAAGTTGCGCATTTTGATGTGACATCACATTTCTCAACCCCCCCCCTCCCCCCTCGTCACACATCGTCACAAATGTCTGACCCCCTCCCCACCCAGGTGCGTGACGTCATTTATGGACGGCCCCTAAGGCCTTCAACGGCACATCAGAAGGTGGTGTGGTCAGTACCAAGCCCCAGCCGATTGTCTTCTCAGTGCTGATGTTTACACATCGCATTATGGAACTTACAAAAAAAAAAATTTTATTGAACATCATGGAACTTATTTAAGCTTGAGACGAGCTGTTTGCCCCAGAGGCCCAGGACCAGTTGAAGTATTCGCTACTGATTGGTGGCCTTGAACGAGAATCGAAGTCAACATGTGTGTGACACTGAAATACACTCGCACACTTAATTCTGCGGTTACCTTAACCTCGCAGGGGAGGCCAGCCATCTGCACAATCTGGTTGATCGGCATTGGTTCTATTTTCTGCTGCACGATTTCCAAGAAGCCAGCATTGGAATAGTCAGCCAGGTGCACGGTCGTGTTGTCCAGGAGACGCTCCACCTTTAAGACCTTGATCTCCCGGCTGCCGATTCGTTTTGTGATGCATTGCAGTGCTTCGAAACGATCTCCAATGTCGATGGACGCTATTTCCGAGTTGTCTGATTCCCAGGATTGTGTGGCCATGAACTGCATGTTTTTCATTGCCGCGTCCTCCATGTTAATTTCATATAGGCAGGCAAACTTCTGTGGCAGACAGCGAAAGTGCCCCTTGTATTCAGGAGGAATGAGAAAATGCTGGTTTTTCTGCGAGTGTTTTTTTACCTCTTGTCCCTTCACGTTGACTGTGTGCGTGGCCATGTACTTGCTGGTGACGCGGGCGGCATGCATCCTCAATTGTGTACCAACTTCGCATGCGACGTAGCCTTGCCGGAAAGACAAGTTGCTACTGCAGCTCTCGCACACCTCCACTAGCAGTGGAAATTCTTCTGCCATTGCGTAAACGTCGCTCAGCGAGTAGAAAGGCATGTCCATCTTAAAGTCTCGTTGACACATGTCTGTTATATCTTTTATCTCCACGTCCAGGTTCGAGAGAAACTTGAACTTCCTACCTGTCTCTGAAAGATTCGAAGAAGAAAAAATATATGCGCATGCACGTTTACTGTATTTGTAATAATACTCAGTGCATATCGTAATTTAAATATAATCTGGTATGTGTGATCATATGTGATGCTCTTTTGTAGCAATCATCACGAGCAGCATAATCGGGGCCGGATTAGTGCTGGGGCTTCTGGAGTTGCAGCTTGGGGCTTAAGATTGTTAAGGGCAACAACAAATGCATACAGCTTCATGATAGTTGAAATGCAATCCGATAGCACGATGATAAATCCTATATATAATTTGGTAATTATAATCAATTCATCACTGTCTTCTTGGTTCTTTCGGTAAAGTCACGTAGAAGGGAAATAATAAAATAATAAAAATAAAACATTAAAAAATACAATTCTAATAAAATACAATTATCACGACGTGAAGAACAGGTCTGTCGGAAATACGCTGTCTTTCCGACAGACCTGTTCTTCACCTGAGGACGGCTGCTTGCGTTGTGGCCGAAACGTCGTGAGAATTGTATTGTATTTTATTTTTATTATTTTATTATTTCCCTTCTACGTGACTTTACCGAAAGAACCAAGAAGATGAATCCCTGCAGTCACGAAAGCTTTAAATCGAAATTTTATTCATCACTGTTTATTACTCACAGTAATGTGCCAAAAATAAACTGTGTTCGAGGTTCCGCTGATAGTTACAACCATCAAGCAGTTGCCAGAAATGTGGAAAAGGTTTCCAGTCTAGGGCCTTCTTAAATCGGTCGAGCGAGGCCATCAGTGGCCCACATGGGAGCAAGAAGTGGCAGGAAGTGATATGAAGAGATTAATGGCTTTGCATTAATTATATTTTAGCTTACAATAAATAATGTTAATATGTCAATACAAAGGCAGAAATATGATTAAACAACTTAGTCATCGTTACTAAACTATTTTAACTAAAATATTTTATTTTATCAGGTAGGGCCCATTGAACTATATCGCTCTTTTTTTTAGAGGACCTGCCCACAAATGATAGCTCAACGAAGTGGCTCATCACGTGGGAATTTATAGCAGCCAAATACTCTAAAACACATGTTGATTCTAAATGTGGAGGGAAAAACCAGAGGACCCGGAGAAAAGTCCACGTGACCACAGGGAGAGCATGCAAACTCTAAATATTCAGGCGTCAGGGTTGGGATCGAACCCACGACTTTCTGCATACCAGGCGAGGTAGTTAACATGTCATAGATAGTGATAATAGATGGTTATATTAGACTGTAATAAAGTACATGATATGTTAATACGAGGTACACATATCTTCTTGGTTCTTTCGGTAAAGTCACGTAGAATGAAAATAATAAAATAATAAAAATAAAACATAATAAAATAATTCTCACGACGTTTCGGCCACAACGCAAGCAGCCATTGTACGTGACTTTACCGAAAGAACCAAGAAGATGAATTCCTGCAGTCACGAAAGCTTTAAATTGAGGTACACATATTTAAGTGGGTATATGTGTTAGTCAATAGTTAATTCCATGCAATATTAGTAATGTTATAATAGCGCTGTGTTAGTTTAAATGTAAATACACTTTTAACGTGAATTGAAACTACTTTGAGCAGTGCATGTCTGACCTGCTGGGGACTGAGATACAGGCACATATGTGAAACTGTTGGATATGTGAACATCTATCGGTTACTGGAACAAAATTAAGTGCAAACTGCTCTAAACATATGCAAGATGACGGTGTAGAAATGAGTTACACCGTGCACAAATAATGCATTGAGTGTGGATGGTTAACTGATCAAGGCGGATATCTGACGGTAAGATATACGTTGCAATTCAATGGACAAAGGCTCGACTATTCAGTTGTCTTGTTTGATAGTTAATGTCTTCAGAACAAACTTACCCTGCAAAACCCCTTTGACAGTGTAGACTGGGTTTAGCAAAATGATGTTTTCAAAGTCCATTGGAAGTCCTGGAATTGGGGGTTCCGTGCTATACGGATCATAACGGACAATGACCCTGCTCAGCTTCTGCTGAATCGCCTCTTGTAGGGTCATTTTCTTCATTTGACTGAAACTATTTGGGGGACCCATGTGGTGTGCAGACTGATGAATAAAACAACAAACACACACACACACCGCTTCTCATCATGTGGGCATCTTATAAACAATAAAAGTTCATGCTTAGGAAGTAGACCATTACATCCATTAAACCCTGAACTGCATGCCAATTTGCAACTATCTAATGTTCACTTAGAGCCTGCGAAGTTGCAACTAACTGATGTACACTGCAGTCATTTCCATCTCGACGACTGAACATCACGTGATAGCTTAATCTGAACAGCAGAGGGCGATACAATCTAACAGGAAGTTTTAATATGATTCACAACAGAATACGTGTCATGTTGATTATTGACCAGGGGTCTGCTATCAAAACAACGAGAGACTTTTTTTTAATTCGGTAAAAAATAAACGGAACGCAATGTGAACACGAGACGGTGGCTCCTTCATACAGAGCCGCATGTAGCTCCCGGAGCCGCAGGATGCCGATCCCCCCCCCGGTTAAGAGAGACACTGGCATCTGATTGACATATGAACACATTCCTGCGGAGGGAGCTGGTAGGAACGTTAGGTTGCTTGGTCAATGGCCAGGGTCAACGGCGGCGTGGTGTATTCCGCAAATATGCCCGACTGTGAGTGCGAGGGCGGGCACAAGCCGGCGTGAGTAGGTTAAACGTTGAGTTTTATAAGGGCACCACGGGGTGATCAACCCCTCCCCACCGAGCTACACCCCTCCCACCCCACCCAGCCCCTCCCCACCCTCCACACCCTCCACACCCAGCCCCTCCCTGCACGACGGACGGACACAATAATCCCCTGTGGGCTGGTGTAACCAGGAGGTTCCTACCAATATAAACAGCCCATAGGGCGGTCATTTGGCAGAGAGTAAAGTTGTCAGCCGATCAAAGGATCAAATATGATACCGATAGCAGAATTACATTCTAGCAGCATCTGCTAAAAAGGAACTGTTGGAGACCTGCTGTGTCAGCGAGAGGCTGTCAACTCTAACCGCAATGAAAAGTACGTTCCCAGAGTGAGAAATGGATATATAGTGCTTGTAAAACCACATGCAACGTGCAAGCACATCGTTGTCAATCCACTGCTGGGGTTGAGGGTCTTTCAACAATGTTGGCAGCCATAAGGGATAGTTGACCGTACTTCACCGCTGCGGTCGGTGCGTGTCGGTGAAGGTAGGTGGCATGTAGAACAACAGCGGACTTCGCCGTCCATAAATGAGGTCAAGTGATTTTGGACGATTTTTGACCCCACCCCCATCGTCACACGGCGTCACAAAAAGTCAGACCCCCCCTCAAATATGACGTCACAAAGCTCTGCCCCCCCCCCCCCCCAAAAAAAAATAAAACATGCTTCAAATCGCTTTAAACTATTGTCATTGTAGTGCGTATTTAATGTGGTGCTGCACTCTGATGTTGTAGGAGAAAACATTTATGAAAAAGTCTATTTAATTAAGTAGAACGTGTTGTCTGTATTTATTTAAAGTTGCGCATTTTGATGTGACGTCACATTTCTCAACCCCCCCCCCTCGTCACACATCGTCACAAATGTCTGACCCCCCCCCCCCTGGTGCGTGACGTCATTTATGGACGGCCCCACAAATGCTGACTACACCTAACTTATGCTTACAGTGGTTGTCCGTCCAAGCACTATTCAGGCTCTGGCCTGCTTAGCTTACGAGCTCTTACTAGATCGAGCTCAATGCAGGTGATTTGGTCGTGTAACATGCAAATGTGTTTTTTCATCAAATACATCTTACCACCGTGTTGTACTAATTATGCGCACATGCATGTCCTTTTCCTCCACAGCAGAGCAAAGTAATCAAAAAAACAAGTTCAATGGGCACGATATCAGCCAAAATGAAGGCCGTTTGCTGGCGATTAGCCATGAAAGTAGAAAGACAGAAGTTGTATTAAGTGGCCAGGAATCTGTTTCCAGTGAATTTGAATATTGATACCATTGCCTTACACGTTGTGCATAGCTCTTAATTGTGTTTGGCAGACAATGCAAGAGGCAGGGTTTTTACTTACTCTGGCTTCATGATCATCAGGGGCACGCTCAAATGATCCTTTGGGAAGAAATGAAAATGCGTTGTAAAATAGGAAAATACTTTAAAATATGTTTTGGCACACTTTTCCCTATTCTGTAAGTGATAATGTATAATTTTCAGTTTGATTGTTGTGATTCACACACTTGTGCTGCTGATCACATCTTATTTGGCCACTTTTTAATTCAGCTCCCGGAAGTATTTTCTGTTGTTTCTACACGGTGTTCGGGAAATAACGTCCGAATTTTGTTTTTAGTTCTTTCTTCTTTTGTATGGTGGTTGATGTAGATGCGGAGCAACGACTACAATTTCTCATGCAGGCGGTTAAGCCAGCCAACGAAGTGGATTCAGTTTCCAGTAAAAGGTCATACTATGCAGAAAACCTACACCGCACTTTTTGAAATATCTACTTACGACATGTAGACATTTGATAGTCTTATTAAATGTGTAACGCAGCTCTACACTCATACATCAGGCATTCATTAGTTTAACTATTTTTATTTTACGAGCAAAGGCCCACTGACCTACCTAGATATTTTTCAGAAGCAACCTGATCACGAATGATAGCTCAACGAAGTGGCTTATCATGTGGACATTTATAGCAGCCAAATACTCGAAACGCATGTTTCTAAATGTGGAGGAAAACAACCAGAGGACCCGGAGAAAAATCCACATGACCACAGGGAGCGAAACATGCAAACTCCAAATTTCCAGGCATCAGGGTCGGGATCGAACCCACGATCTCCTTTATACCAGGCGAGGTAGTTAAAAGGAGGCAAACGGTTTTAAAAATAGAGATGTGGGTTCTAACCAAAGATGCAGGCTTGTCATTTTTGGTGATGTACCTAACTTTCCAGTGTAGTTTGGAGAATTTCCCCAATAAGCAAATGACCACAAAGCCGTGAATAATTGAATTACACTGTGTGTAATTGTGTGTAATTCAATTATTCAGTCGAGACTGCCGTGCCATATTTTTATGGGAGTGAGAAAATGTAGACCTCAGTCCTTTGTTTCAGCCCACCGTCCCCCAACACGCGCTTTCCAATTCTCATGCACATAGGCGTCCATGCAAATGTAAGTGATGAAATGCACGTCACAATCATCTGTTTATTGGTTGACTGAGAAAATACAATCTGCGTCTAACCTTTCGGGCTCGTAATTTAACAAATCACTAAGAGTTGTAATGATTCACCACGGATGGTGATTTGATGAATTGTCAGGATTCACAGTTATGGTTAAATAAAACATATATTTGTTTTGCATTGTGGTGAATGTATTAGGAACTGTTGGGGTCACATTGACCCATTCCATACAAAATATACAAATGCATAGATTCGTTCAGGAACAATTCTCAGCATTATTTCAGCTTAATAATCGATTTTAATCAATGGATGAATGCATCATTACACCTCCAATGTTATATAAGCATTTATATCAATACTCACGAAATTCAATAGTTAGTGATCTCCAGATAGAGATTGTTTTAATGTATCTGTGGCTGTTGCTGATGGAATTTCATAATTGTAAACTGTTATTGAATTATTATGGAAGATAAATGCGATTCACTCCTAATGTTTGAAATTAGATTTTGCCTTGTAAAGAAATATACAGTTTACGTTTAGCACACGTTTGTTATAGATATGGGGTGAAGCGGTGGTACAATCATTCATGAACTGAACTATGAACCTGACCACCTGAGTTCATTTCTGGCCGTGGCTGATATCAACGACGAGTGGCATCTAAAGCACTCCAGGGCCCTCGTCACAGACACGTGCTGGCCAACGTGGCGAAGTACGATCAAACAATTATCATGCCTAACCGAGCACGGAGAGGCCTTTATCCTCCAGTTAATTTGCAAAGAACTGCACATTTACATTGCGGATGCATTTGCCTAATCGTAAGGAATGAGAGGGGCAGTCAGTACAAACAATGTTGTCCCCTTATTAATTGTCAGTCCCTGTTGTATAATTCCATGACGTAGGCACATTCAGGTCTAATTCTGCATTTCAAAACGATCAATGAACACGTGTTGAGCAGTTGCGAGTTGTCTTTTTTTCACAGCAGCACAAAACGCGGCCCTCCGTCGCATTGGCTCACCGCTGTAGCTTGCAGGGATCTTCACCTCTGAGTTTGGGATCACTCTCATATTGCAGTCGCACAATGTGGCCAAAACTCTCAATAACGAGATGCCTGTGATCTTTATGATATCTCCTGTGGAGAGTGTACCAGCCGTTGCCGAAAAGTCATAGAGAGAGCCTGTGGATAGGAAGGAAATGACACGCGTATGCTTTTTGCAAATACCACAGCACCTACCATTTCCATTTGTGATGAAGATACATCACGAAACCTCCTTACCTTCCTGCAGTATTCTGTTGTCCGTGTCATTTGTTCATGTTCCAGTCAAAGTGATTTATTGCTGAGCATTGAACCAGTGTTGGCAATTCCACATTCCTATGGTGAGGAGGGAGTCTCGCCATTGGACAGCCGCTGTTGGATTTCCCCACAAAGTGGTACTTGCATTTACGACGCCAGAGAGATGATGGGCTCAGTCACCCCCGCCTCCACACTCCCCCCCCAACCAAGATTTGAAATCAAAACCTTCGTGTTGTGAGCCGTTCGCTGTCACGCTGAGTCACCTGTGCGAGTTTATGCTTCATTATAAGTATTGTTACAGTATTGTCAAACAAAAAGTTAGAGCGTTGTCGTTAATTATTGTTTATTGTGAAATGTTCCCTTCAGAAAGAATGTGTTGCATCCCAGTATAGTGTCTCGGTGGTTACTGCATTCAATACTATTGACACGACCGGATATTGCTATGCAAGTGAATACGTACCTTGCTGAGCTTTATATATTTATTTTGCCTGTTTGTTTATATAGGCTTCACGTAGTAATTTAAATAATGATTTTTTCAATTAGTCCAGAGCGAATACATTCAACCGATTAATGATGGTAACGCGTTAGGATTTCTTTCACAGCGAAAGGAAACTCCTATTCAAAAAACATGTTTTGCTAAAGATGTAAGACAACAGATACACCCGGCAGCGGAACATGTCAGTAGGAGGAATGTCGTGTACCCGATGAAATACAATATTATGAAGTAAAACACGTTACGCTGAAGCCGTGACTAGAGCCGGATTAAGCTAGTGCGGGGCCTGTAGCACATGTTATAAAGGGACCCTAATAAAAAAAAACATAAATATTAAAACACATACATTTTTTACTTGCATAGTAAAGTAATTGTATTGTTTCATTTGCTATACAGCCAGATTATACGACAAATGGCTAACCTTAAACACCCAGTCATTCATAAAAGTTGAAGGCGGTATAGTACTATAGCAACAGAGCAATTGCAAAATCACTGAACCGGAATTGATAGCTTGAAAGCATTTAGCGCGGGGCCCTTGAAAGTGTGGGGCCCGTAGCTACTACACATGTGTAGTAGCTACTACTAGATGTGTAGTAGCTACTACTAGATGTGTAGTAGCTACTACTACATGTGTAGTAGCTACTACTAGATGTGTAGTAGCTACTACTACACGTGTAGTAGCTACTACTAGATGTGTAGTAGCTACTACTAGACGTGTAGTAGCTACTACTAGATGTGTAGTAGCTACTACTAGATGTGTAGTAGCTACTACTACATGTGTAGTAGCTACTACTAGATGTGTAGTAGCTACTACTACACGTGTAGTAGCTACTACTAGATGTGTAGTAGCTACTACTACACGTGTAGTAGCTACTACTAGATGTGTAGTAGCTACTACTACATGGTAGTAGCTACTACTAGATGTGTAGTAGCTACTACTACACGTGTAGTAGCTACTACTAGATGTGTAGTAGCTACTACTACACGTGTAGTAGCTACTACTAGATGTGTAGTAGCTACTACTACATGTGTAGTAGCTACTACTAGATGTGTAGTAGCTACTACTACACGTGTAGTAGCTACTACTAGATGTGTAGTAGCTACTACTACACGTGTAGTAGCTACTACTAGATGTGTAGTAGCTACTACTACATGTGTAGTAGCTACTACTAGATGTGTAGTAGCTACTACTACACGTGTAGTAGCTACTACTAGATGTGTAGTAGCTACTACTACACGTGTAGTAGCTACTACTAGATGTGTAGTAGCTACTACTACATGTGTAGTAGCTACTACTAGATGTGTAGTAGCTACTACTACATGTGTAGTAGCCAGAGGTCGCAACCGGGTACCAGATACCCGTACCCTTCCCGATACCCGGCTACCCGTACCCGGCCGGGTACGGGTACCCGTTTGCGACCCTGGTGCGGCCGGGTACAGGTAGGCCGTGAGTCACTGGTCAGTAACCGTTTGTCACTCATTTCCCAACGTCTTGTCTCTTCTCACAATTCAAGTTCCTAGAATAAACCCACACGCACCTGCAACATGGCTTCATCCCAGAGGTCGCAATCGGGTACCCGATACCCGTACCCTACCCGTACCCGGCCGGGTATGGGTAGGGTACAGCCGGGTACAGGTACCCGTTTGCGACCCTGGTGCGGCCGGGTACGGGTAAGGAATCAAAACCCGTTTGCGACCTCTGGTAGTAGCTACTACATATGTAAATACTTTTGCTACGAGGAAAATCCGGCACTGGCCGTGACTCGTGTCATGTGCCAGTGTTGATGAATCAGAATGGTCAGTTAAAATTGTCCCTCTTCAGTGGGGCTTCCTGTTGCGAAATGCACAAATGTGAAATCATGTCAATGTGGTCACATTTTCATTTCAGTATTTTACCATAGTTTTATTTGTTTAAACCTGTGTACGTTTCACGAATGTGTTTAAAAAACACAAACAAACAATTTGAGTCTGCAACGAGCAGCATATTGTACAGTACACTCATGTAAGAACGCTAAAACAAGTTCAACATACGTGTATATATACTTGCCAACTTGTACCTTTTTGCATTCAGTTGTTTCAAATGTCAAGTAAAGTGTTCCTGTTTTCCAACTACAGAATTGAATACAAATCCTCCCCCCCCCCCCCATTACAAATACGTAGTCAAGCTGAAGATGGAATAACATTGTGTACTTATGAACTGAATTCGAATGCTATAACCTACGCACTTGTACTTGTGTGTGTATGGCGCGTAATTGTGGAAATTGTTTTAAAGTGTTAAGAATGTACGTTTCTTTTTAACTGAACGTCACAATACAGTACGTAGCATGTGTAATCATGAATTAGCCTATGTAAAAGACAGTTGTACTTTGCGCCAACTATCGAGTATAATTGTCTTTATACCAACTTGATTTGAAGCTGTAGTGACTGCAGGAATTACTCTTTGGTTCTTTCGGTAAAGTCACGTAGAAATAAAATAAATAATAGAATACGACGTTTCGATTGCAACACAAGCAACCGTCATCAGGTGTGATTGAATGCAAGCTCGGAGAGAGACACATATATAGAGAGAGAGACAACACAGACACGGAGACATACACATACACAGAGAGAGAGACACACAGAGAGAGAGAGACAAACAGAGAGAGACGCACACACAGACACACAGTCTCTCCCCCATATGTCTCTCTCTCTGTGTGTCTCTCTCTTTGTGTCTCTCACCCAAAAATATACAGGTTAAACAAAACCATCCCCATCCTACTAGGCAAAGCGCACTCAGGTATTAACTTATTTTTTCAGGATGAATAAAGTACTGCACGGCAGAGGTCGCAACCGGGTACCCGATACCCGTACCCTACCCGATACCCAGCTACCCATTTGCGATCCTGGTGCGGCCGGGTACAGGCACGGGTAGGTTGTGAGTCACTGGTGAGTAACTGTTTGTCACTCATTTCCCAACGTCTTGACTCTTCTCACAATTCAAGTTCCTAGAATCAACCCACCCGTGCCTGCAACATGGCTTCATCCCAGAGGTCGCAATCGGGTACCCGTACCCTACCCGATACCCAGCCGGGTACGGGTAGCCGGGTATCGGGTAGGGTACGCGTACCCGATTGCGACCCTGGTGCGGCCGGGTACAGGTAAGGAATCAAAACCCGTTTGCGACCTCTGCTGCACAGTAGTGATTTCAGTAATTTTATAACATGCTTTTCACAACCAATATAATTCACAATTCGTTTCTTTGAGATTATATCGTGTAGGTATGCCGAGATTTGATCAATTTTGGCAAAATTTTGCTTGCGTTTTAATATTCCGTTCTGAAAAACCAAAGCGATTGTCACGTTTGCCCACGTGACAACTTGATTTGATCGTCTCTGTTGGGTGGTGGATGGCGAAAGTAAAAAAACCACGTTATACATACACGATCGAACCCAAAGGAAACATTATGGACGCTTTTTGGAAGCTTCGAATTGGTTGTCTTGTGGAGTGAGCTAGAAACCTCATTAAACCGTTTCGACATTAAAACGCCCATGGCACCAATGCTCCATCAAATTAACAAAAGCCCGTAGGATAACCTAACACACTTTAGCCTTGCAATTATAAATATATAAATACAGTCCGTTCTCCTATAATGCGAATTGGACATCCTGCGATTAATGTGTAAAGGAACACATTTTTTAAAACGTGGATTCTAATAGGATATAACGCGATTGAGCGAACAGAACTACGTCGCACGAGTCGGAATAAGCGGTTGTACGGCTGCCTCGGCGTAGCATTGAAGATGGTGGGATGCTGCTGGATGTTTTTTAGATGCTACCCACGCGCATCAGTCTGTGTTGAGCCTGCGTACGCATGTCATGTGTTATCTCGGACTGTGCTTTTCCCGATATTATACTTTTTTTATTATTATAACGAAAATGTTTTTTATAACGCGGTGTTGTTCAGGAACGCAACTGCCGCGTTATAGGGGAACACTTAATTGACCTTAGATTCTTGTTTTAACAAATCAACTTTTCAATGTGACATTTCGATATTACAAGACCAGCCGTGTAATGAAAATATACTCTTACAATGTCACATTTAGGTATTGACAACATTCTCAACCGGATAATCAGGTTATAACTTTATTAACATTACAGCTAGATGCAAGGGTGGTAAAAAGCACGTTATACACACACGCACCTGCTGTGGTGACATTCCACACATTTACTGGTGGACTTTGACTTATCTAGTGTACTTAACATCGTGGGCTGTTTTTGTAATACCAGCACAATACAGCATGTCACATCCCTACAGGTTTAATTCCATATTCCGTGTCTCTCAAGAAAGAGCTGTGATCACGGAAACATGTCAGGTTTTATTTTGAAATAAACGTCTAGTGAGCACGCTCCATTCTATTCGTGTCATGATAAGTTTAACTTCTCCCATGTTACGGAGCGAATGCAAGAAGTGGCTTGCAGGCTGATAAATACAAAAAAAAGGCATAAAAACCTTCATACAGAATCGACGTAGCGTTTGTGAAAGCATTGTATTGAAGTTGGCAGAATACATTGTAGGTGAATTTGTACGACTCACCAAACAGGCACAACATTTAGCTGTCAAGTCGGTGTTTCATAAGCGTGCACGTCCCGACATCTGTACCACAGTCGATTAGTAACAAAGCGAACGCGTGTAAGATTAAACGATACGTATTTACCTTCATCATAAACTCCTTCCGTGACCTCAATAATTCGGGGAAGATGAGCTGGGTTCAAATGATTGATGTAATTCTCCAGAGAAATGCTTGAGTCCTGACTGTCCATGGCCATGGTCGAGTCTATTCTGTGTCGAATTCCACGGTTACACTGGTGTGGTCGTGCCTCTGTTATTGACGACCAGGGTTCAAAGTGCGACCGAGCCAGAAGTGGGTGCTCGTAAATGATAAGCAACGAAAGCAGAAGTTAATAAAAAACTGCAAGCCAAATCTCAATGCATTTGTGCTGTTGCTGCGCGATATGTTAATTTGTGTGCCCATATACGTCGACTAATACATGGAATGCTGACGTAAGAAAGTAAAACGTCGTATTTGTTTTACTTGTTGGGAGAGAAATTCGTGGAATAATACATTTACAAATCGCATGCAACAATATGAAATGTATGAATTGCTCCGGAATCTATAAAACGTGACATCCACGGTGGGCGCCCATCCAATTGCTATTCAAATTCAATGTTGCTCTATTTCCCAGAACTGACGTAATCGGGTGCATTCCGGATTATTTCTTCAAATATGGTAATACCGTGCTCAATGCGTGTTTACGCAACGCGTTTTCGTTATAACGCGAAACGCGCCAAGGTGGCGAGATGTTAACTACCTCGCCTGGTATGTAGTGGGTTCTAAACAGGCGCACACCGCGTCTTGGAGGCAACATGTTTATTTATGAACACAACTCGGACCAGCTAACATAACAGATAACTGCGCAACGCTCCGAAGTTAACTATGTACAATCTTGATTTGAAGCTTTCGTGACTGCAGGAATCCATACTCTTTGGTTCTTTCGGTAAAGTCACGTAGGTAGAAAATTAATAGATCACGACGTTTCGATCGCAGCACAAGCAATCGTCATCTGATGGGACAACCACAGCAAGAAAAAACTGCTGAAGTAGGCGAGAGATCTGCCGTGGCACGAGGTTATATAGGCCTCGGCAGTAGGGGGGGGGAGAAGTGGGGGGGGGGGGGGGAGGAGGCGGGGCAGAAAGTGGACCCCGCGGCAGCATCTGGGTCACTGGAGTACTGGAGATCGGAGAGAGATGCACAGAGAGAGAGAGAAATACACACAGAGAGTCGGAAATAACAGCTGACATAGGCAGGTAGGATGGAAACATCACAGTCAGTTAAGAATTTACCTGGTTAATAACGTCCTTTCAATGATTGCTCAGTTTGTACCCATCTTCTCGGTTGAAGTTGTGTCTGTGTTTATATATCTGGATGGCTTCATGAACAAATCTCTGATAATAGCCGGTGGGTTTACAGAGTACCTTCATCTTGGAAAAGTCAATTTCGTGTGAGCCCACTGCGTTAAAACAATGATCAGCAACGGCAGAGGTATTGGTCCTACCGTGTTTCAGATCTGCCTTGTGTTTGCGAACGCGGTCCGAGACATGTCGTTTCGTTTCCCCAATGTAACTGCTGCCGCAGCCACAACTCAGTTTGTAGACACCCGGGTATTGCATATCAGGAATCACATCTTCTACAGATGGGATCAAATCACGGATTTTGTGTACTGTGTTGAAACGAACCTGGATCTTGTGTTTGTTTAAAAATGTTGAAATCGTTTTGGTAACCCCTGCTATGTATGGCAAAGTGATGGTGTTAGTTGGATCCTCAGATGGTTGTCTACCCATGGCTGGGGATACAGCTTTGCGGATTGTACGGTCAGAATATCCGTTCATCCTGAGGGCTTGGTGTACGTGCTCCAGCTCACTGGCTAGGTGATGCTGGTCGGAGATGCAACGGGCCCTATGGTGTAGGGTTTTGATGAGGGAATTCTTCTGGGCTGGATGGTGGTGGGAGTCAGGCTTTAGATAGGCATCCGTGTGGGTGGCTTTCCTGTAGACAGAGCGTCCCAACGAGCCATCAGGTCTCTTCTCGATCAAAACATCCAGGAATGGTAGCTTGCGATCCTTTTCCAATTCCATGGTGCGTACATCGTATCTCGCCAAACTTGATCATTACTGCATTGTTCATGAGGAAATTGTTTTTGCTCAACGCGGCACTTTTAAGGAACGCATCTACCGCATTAATCGAGGACTTACTGTACTACATGGTGGCTATATTTGCTATATTGTTATGCAGAGAGCAGTACAGCAACATTAATTGTTGTACTGTAATTATATGCTCCTATATCTGTGCTTCCCACCTTCACCCCACCGCACAGGGGGGGGTTTGCCAATTCTGACCGAAGCTATTCCAGGATATTGTTTTAATTTCGAATTTATTTTCTAAAACATCCCCTTCAAATATCCACAGATTGCTTTCAATAGTGACCGGGAGGTCGATGCCAATTCTGATAGACTCCCAGCCAATATGGGAGTATTGGCACTCTACGATCAAATAGCCCCCATTGACAGCACGGTGTGTTGAGTGAGGCCCTCAGCCAGCAGTAGATTAACAAAGGGCTGTCTGTGTACATGTATACTATACACGTCGCGTTTTACCCATTGTTGAGGTTTCCAAATGGGCACTGCAGAATCTCATGGATTGGTCCGTAGCAGACACTTTTTGCCGTGAAAAAGCAATGTTCCCACTTGTGCAAGGACATTGTCCTATTAAAGGTTCTATCTTGGTCTAAAGGTTAAAAAACGTTACTCCATCACTTATAGAATTTATTGCAATAGAGTACTGCAATGTTCTCTGCATATGATTAGGAAACTTTCTTCCTTTTCTGGCTCAAGTGTAATCACAGTCGGGTGATCTTTAGTGAGGAGAAAATTACTCTTAGCCAGCTAATTCTAGAAATATATGTATTATATACATGAGATATAATATAAAATAAGCATTGCTTGTAAATTGCATGCGGTATCTATGCTGTTGCTGCTGATGATACATTGTGTATGATGCATGGTATGGCCTCAAATCACATTCTAGTGAATGCTCTCTTTGCCATGAAAACAATGACGTGATTATTACCAACAATGGGGCAAATTGTAATTTTATTCTTCTTCTTGTCGTACGGCTGATGAAGATTTAGAGCAACAACTGCAATTTCACATTAAGGTGGTGAAGCCAGATGATCGTGTCACGAGCAGCGGAGTGTCTCGCTGTGATGTCTCCTTCGTATTTGTGGATCGGGGCATTGTGTCGTGACAGGTCGTATGCTCTGTTTTGGATGACCACAGTCGCACGCTACTGCTGTAGAGTTTTTAAGTTTAAATTTGTGCATCAGGTATCCGCATCTGCCATGGCTTGTGCGGATGCGGTTTAGGGTGGACCATGAGCTTCGTGGATGATCAAACCCAGGAATCTTCTACGTTGGGTCTTTCACAAGGTGGTGTTTGTTCGTGAGTTATTTTGAACTCCGTTCAGCTATCCCAAGATTTATCTAATCGGGGTTGAATTATTTCCTGAAGGCACCATCTCTCACGTTCCTATTATGTAACAATTTACACGTGAACTGATCACGGTAGATGTGTAATGGCCGACGCAATAAACCACTTTCCTGACATGGTACGCGTGCAGACGGACAGTCAGGGAATGTGTTAAAGGCCTCTGATTGGTGCCGGGAGGCCTAACAGTGGTCTGGTTACGGTCAGATAATTAAACTGATTGGTAGAGAGATTGAAACGAGGGTTGACTGTTGGGGGGGAACGGTTGACAACCGTTAGGGAAGAAGGATGAGGATTGGCAGAGGGAAATGGGGTGAGCGGACCCTCGAGAAAGGGAGCTGGAGGGATATAAAAGGGGGATAGCTCAAGGGGAAGGGACGGTCGGAGAGAAGACAACGTTTGGGCCAAAGAAAGTGTTCGTGTCTACGATAAAGGCTCACAGTAAAGCAAGAACGTGTGTCGGTCGTCATTACAGATGTCTGCTATCGAATGCATGTCCTCTCCTTGCTATCACTCCATCATTATTCTCTACGACCGGCCATCCCTTTTCGTGACATATCCTGCCCAAGCCCGTTTTTCTTTAACTGCCTTTGTAGGAAAAAAATACAGAATCGGTGACGTTGCCTATTGCAGGAGCCCCTCGTGTAACAATCCCCGCCCGTAGCGTTAAGCGATTCATGAGATGAACAAACGATTATAATCCTGGCGTGATATTTATTTAACATGTTTTTAAAAAAATAATATTTAGCCAGTTTAGAAGCGATGCCTTGCAGGAAACTAGATGCTTTAATGTAGTGACAGAGGTTAGCTGGTTGAGAAAGATTTTAGGACTATCAAATTGGTGGAGACTGAGAAGTGATCGTATCAGAAAATGATTTGTAGGAAAACAACTTCATGAGACAAGGTTTGGGCAAGAAGGCGAAAGTGGTTCGGACATGTGACAAGAATAAGCCTAGGCAGCATTCCTAGCTTGGCGATGTAGCACTAAAGGAGAAGGAAACAAGAGTAGGGGATGATATAAAATCACGTGAATAGAGGCAGTCGTAACATATATATAGAACAGCAATGATAGAGATTGAGCGCTTGGAGTAACCCTGGTTAAAGAAAGAGAACCATGGTGAAAATTCGTTTGGGCCCCCATTGTTGCTAACTAGTTGAAGGTCTCGATTTAAAGCTTTCGTGACTGCAGGAATTCATCTTCTTGGTTCTTTCGGTAAAGTCACGTAGAAGGGAAGTAATAAAATAATAAAAATAAAACAATAAAATAATTCTCACGACGTTTCGGCCACAACGCAAGCAGCCTCGACAGACCTGCCCGCTCACGCACCAGCCAATCAGCCAGACAGCCAGCCAGCAAGCAAAACTTTTTTTCTTTTTGGTTATTTCGGTAAAGTCACGTAGAATGGAATGACTCTGTCTTCTTGACAGAGTCTGAATGACTCTGTCTTCTCGACAGACCTGTTCTTCACCTGAGGACGGCTGCTTGCGTTGTGGCCGAAACGTCGTGAGAATTATTTTATTATGTTTTATTTTTATTATTTTATTACTTCCCTTCTACGTGACTTTACCGAAAGAACCAAGAAGATAGTTGAAGGTCAGAACAGATTATGATGATGAAGCCTTGCAGTACTTTTCCCTGTCCACAAGACAGCAGCATACACCATGTGCTGGGCATGTCGGCATAATTCCACAATTACCTGTGCAGCTTACCTTAGATTTGAAATATGATTTCAATCAGACAAAATAAATATTCTGAAGATAAGTAAGCTGTAGTATGTGTCACTACAACATTTCAAACTTGGGCAATTAACATATATAAATGCTAATATGAAAGTGATGAATATTTATAAAACATGCACATCGCTGTGAAGTAAGAAACGCGACTCAAGCTATTATCGTGGTATATTGTTGGGCACACAAATGACAAAATAGTTTGCGAGGTGGCCAGATGGCTCAGGGGTCAGATCACTGAGCCAGGGCTTGCTGAGACCCTGA